TTATTTTCCCTACCTACGATAATGACATCGAATGAAAAGCTTCCTTATAAGGCAGATCGAGAATGATGTGCCCGCTTCAATATACTTGCTCGAAGCGGAACAAATATAGGCAGCGTAACCAGAGTCATAACGTCTTTTTTTCATTTTTCATTCCACCTTTGATTCAAGATGGAAATGTGGCTATCATGATTTTTAAATTAAAGAACTCATTACATGCTCGGCGGCGTTTGCTTAGTTTGTCCGACGTCACGTCCGTTAGTCCAGATGCAACTTGGAACGTTACATGACGTAACGACATAGTAACGGTACCTTCAGCTTGCATATGCCTTTTAATCAGCGGTCCCGGTGACGACCGGAATGGAATTTCCTGCTGTCGGAAGTCACATCCAAGATGACAGATCGCACTTGCCTCTCCCTCCATCGCATTAATTTATCCTCATTGAGAAAAGTGAGGATGCAGATGGCCCAGTGGCGTAATGGATAACGCGTCTGACTTCGGATCAGAAGATTCCAGGTTCGAGTCCTGGCTGGGTCGTGCTTTTCATTTGCTTTTCCTTCGTCTAAATCAGTGTTTCCCAAACGGTGTGCCGCGGCACATTGATGTGCCGCCAGTAAGGCTTAAGTGTGCCGTGAGATTTGAGAGTTGACAAAAAAAAATTTAAAACTAAAATTAAAACACTTAAAAACAAGAGGAAACGCCATCTTTCAGTGTAAAACGAGCCGAGAGTTGAACCTCGTCACCTCGTAAAAACTGCTGTGTTCAGCGAAGCAAGCACAGGTTTCCCATCGAAAGTGAGTAATTGGCTGGGTGTGCCGTGGAAAGTTCAAGTGTCCTTAGGTGTGCCGCAAATAAAAAATGATTGGGAACCACTGGTCTAAATCTCCATGCGAATGGAAAGTGCTTTTGCTCGGATCGGACGTTCAGACGTCATCATCAGATGTTTGATTCACTTACCCAATTACAAAAAGTTGGTGTCTCTCCGACCAGTTCCTCAAGCTGTTTCTCATTTTTTGCCATGGGGAATTTTTCCAACTTAAGCTCATTTTCTCTAATGATTAGTGGGAATTTCCAGGCATCATGGTCAATTTCTGTGGCTCTAGCAATAGATTTTGAATAAATTCTATTATCCCTAAACTCAGGCCAAATTCTCCGATTCCAAATAGTGACGGGCTGCGTTTTCGCCATTTTCTGGAAATCTGCAAAGATATTCTTTCGTGCCTTCCGAAATACACTGCGCCGCGAGAAATGGCAGAAATCTGGCATACTGTTGGTATTAAATCCAGGGTTTTTCTTTCCAGGTGACAAAGAACATGAGAAAATTATAAATAAATAAAAATTTCGTGAAGATCCAGATGCAGTTGTGAATTTTATTTCGACGAACGAAAGGTAAAAAAAAAGTGATGCCTTGACGGTAGGCATTTTGCCCGCAAATTTCGATTTCCCTCGTCATTTGCCTTCTCCATAAGCGCATGCCAAAAGTATCACGTTACACAGAAAGAAAGAATAACTTTCCTACCGACTCATTAAACTCCGAAGAAAATTGGAGACAGGAGACCAAAGGATTTCGAGGCTCAGCGAAACTTTAGCACCAACATGCATGTCGCACCGTCGGCATTCCTTTATCTTAACTTAAAGTTGAGCACTGCCAAAAATTAGCTTATTTTGGGAAGGAGGCCGAAATTTGCACAGTGCGCTGCCATATATTTACCGGGAAGAATCAAGTTTCGCTCGAATTTCAATTGGGAACAATCGCGGAATTCAACTCGAAAATTCCTCCTCCTCTTCTTCTCCTCTGGGAGCATTTGAGAAACGGAATCGCCTTGACATGTTTCAAGATCCTCTCACTCTCGACCTTGAGACCTTGAGAAACTTGTCGGAGCAGAACCTAATTTTCGCATCGTCAGATTCAAACGTTATCAATTTTACGAGATAAAAAAAAAATTATTCCGTTCGCACGGTTTAAACGGAGAAAAAAAACGACCCAACCAGGACTCGAACCTGGAATCTTCTGATCCGAAGTCAGACGCGTTATCCATTACGCCACTGGGCCACCTGCATCCTTCTTCTCCTCCATGAGGATAAATGAACGCGATAGAGGCAGAGACAGGTGTCATTTGTAACCATGTGACTCACGACAGCGGAAACCTCCACTCCGGCCGCCACCGTCACTTCATCCCTCATTAAGAGAACGAAAAGGGAAATGGATTCCGTCAAAAATTCGACAATATAAAAGTAGGAACTTCAAACGGCCATTTAAATATTCCATTTAAATATTCCCCATTTAAAAATCCCAGACATGAACTGTTGATAATTAAACCACGTGAGTTTGAATTTTCCTGGAGCGAATCCCGTCTGTCCCTTCATGCCTTTAATAATTATAATAAATATAATTAATAGTAATAATATTATTATTAATAATTAAATTGCTCCGTTTTTTTCCTGTTTTCGTCTACGAGAAATTGCGTTAAGAAATAACAAAAAAAGTTTACAGTTATCAATACGAAAATTTTTGCGAGCTATTCGACGAGTTATTTTTATGGCAGGGCGGGCCAAAAAAAATGTATCCGACTTGAAAATGATATATTATGGGATTACCATACGAGATGGGATTGAGTCGAAAAAGTGTCAATCGTCAAGAGCACGAGATGAATAGCACGAGACGAATCACACGAGATGAACAGCACGAGTTGGGCCGGAAGCTGCCGACCTCGCGTATTCCGATTTTATTCCGAATTATTTTGGAAGTGGGCGGTATAAAGGACATGTACATTCTTGTATTTCGGCGAATAAAGGACATGTCGTACATTCTTGTTGGATTTCGGCGAAAAGGCCGCCAGGGACAGAAGGGCATCCATAAGGGACATTTCAATTTTTTTTTCTCTCGATGGACCAGCCCGTTTAATTTTTTTTGGACATAAAACATGCACTTCGAATATTATTAATAATCGTTTATCGCGTTCAATCGAAATATTGAAATTTGCGAATATATTAATTCCCTTTTTCCGCTTCCTGTCGCAACGCTTTCACGCGCCTAAAATCCAAACTGTATTATTTTATCCGAATTTAACCGACACCTGCAGGCCGGATATCCGGTCCCATCCGGTCGTACCTCTCGACCGGCCAACTGGGTTGAAGACATTTTCTTGTCTGATGCAAAAGTGATCGGAAACGCCGCCATAACGCTGGTTAAATACCAGACTGGGGTTCACGAATATTATGAAAAGTGAATCCGATGACGAGCTGCAGGTCTGTCGCAGATCTGTCGCAGGTCTGTCGCGGGTCTGTCGCAGGTCTGTTCACGCATGTTGCATGCGACAGACCCGGCAACTCTTCGTCGCGAGGCTCGATGGGTGGAAAATCCGAAGGGAAAATTGTGCGCAAGGATCACGCGGGAAATGTGGTCTGCCGATAGGGCGCATAAATAAAAGGGCGTCAAAAGAAAGGACGTCTTCGTGACGGTATGGTGACATACCGTTACGAAACCGTTATGAAACTTGACGTTTGCACTAAATCGCTCCAGAAGCTCCTGGGATCCCAAAAGAGCTATGAATCTCTCACGACTCTTTTTTCCTCAAAGACCCTGGCGTAAATGCACCTCGTGTTGTCAAGTATCGAGCAGGATTAAGCGTTATTCCGTTCGAGCCAGACATTAAATTGCACTAGTGTTTCCGGACCATCTGCGAGTTGTAAAAAAAAAAGGATTTTCAGGCGTTTACGTGCGAAATTCGAGATTAGGTAAATCTAATCTCGAGAACTAATCTCAGCGTCTTCCAGGAAGCGAACTTCTGAATTTCTCGTCGAAATAAAAGGAGCTATCGTTTTTCGTGAAAACACGATGCCCACCTCGTTACATTAATTTCAATGCGATTGGTTGTCCGTTTCAAATTTCTCTGAAAAGCTTTAATTTTCTGAGTTCGAACGATTCATTTGTCATTTGGTGCTTTCATCGTCGACGAAGTTGCTGTCTACTTTCGCGGATTAATTTCGCCGATACATCGCTTAGAAGAGGGAATAAGCCCCTCGTGAAAATCACCCTTTCAGCCGATTCCTCTGACGGACTAACTGCTTGAAAAATCTCCCAGCGAGAGAGACTTGTCGACGAAGAAAGAAAACAATCGGGGTTGCAACTCGAGGAACGGGGATGACATACCAAACAAGACTGTTACGTCATATTACGGGAAGTCTAAATGTTACATTAAGGCGTACGCCAGGATGTGGTTCCGATGTCCGATATGTTTTCGTTTGCAGGTAACGTCGAAGAAGCGCACACCTATAAGCGAGGTTTTACGGTAAGTTTAGCCTCTTATCTACAGGGTGACCCAAAAGTCTGGACACAGGCGAAAATGTAGTAATTTTATTCAATAACACTTTCAACATGGCGCCCATCATTAACGATGCAAAGTACCACCCCTCACGTCCACTCAGCAGTACCAATTCAATACGTTCTTCTTTCAACAAATTCATATTCAATCTGGGGAAAAAAAAGAATGTTAGTAATATTACCTATGCGTCCAGACTTTTGGGTCACCCTGTATAATTACGCGTTTGCGTCCACAGCACCCTTTTTCCATGTCACCGGCAACTGGCGGGCGGGGTAAAAACCCATTCAGGCCATTTAAACCATCATATGAAAGATCTGATGCATCCTACAGGCCCTTCCAATGCAATAATCAAGCATCTTTGGTTGGTTTCTTGACAGCCTCTTCTCAGTCCCAAAACCTTAGTTACTTGAGTGAACAGGTGTTGCGATGACACCCCTTGATAGCAGGATATAATATCATGTTTAGAGAAGCGAGAAGTTCATGAAACTAGGTTTTAATCATAAGGTGCAGCAGTCTGACAAGATTTGATCTCGTGAATTCCCTGGTTCATCAAGGAATTAGAACTTGTTGCTTAGCCTGTAACTACACGCCGTCAGAGAATTCATTTTAATCCAAGCACTCCTATTAGAGAATGGGTGAACATTGAAAGGTAATACTTTATTTCTCTTCAAATATTACTGGATAATCTGCATAACATCACTACATGTACAATGGCCATGCCCAGAAGGGTCAAAATAAATCCTGATGACAGAAACAAGATATGAAACACCACCCACTTTGGTGATGAAACAATACGTGGGAAGAAAATTTCCAGAAGGTGGGCAGTATATTGGCAGACTGTGCTGACGATGAAAATGCAGCTTTGAAGCGAAGTAGGAGCAAGTATACAGTGGTAGATTGGTAGACTCTGCTCCAACTGAGGATTTTAAAAATAGGAAAAATGTACTGCCACCGAGGAAGAGAAAGGCAAAGGAGAGGAGTGCAGAATGATGAATGCAATGCAACTGGATCTGAAGAGAAGCCAGAATTTGCACCATCACATATAGAACTCTAAAAAGTATCATCACAGCTGTCAGGTGCCTTGCACACCCACTTGCATGACCTGAACACAAGTGTCTATTCTTGGCCAAAGCCTTCCGTCTCTTCCATGGCAAACGTGAGCTTCTCGCTCAACTGTTCATAACTCTTATATGGAGGCAGATCGAGGCGATTGAAGCAAGTGTGAGAACGAGGGAGCATCGTGTCCTTCCCAACTTTCTCGATGCAGAAACGCTGGGGTCCATTGCTGCCCATGAGCTCGGCAAATCCACCGACGGGGACACGACAAGTCCCGGTGACAAATTGGAGCAGCCGGGTTCGGCGTTCATTATCGATCTCCCTCACGAACTGCCAAAACCACACAATCTGCTTGGAATTGCGAGTGTAATGACGATATATAGTGTTTCGCTGCCAGTCCTCGATGTCAATTTCCTGCATTCCACACATCATCAGCTCCAGCTCTCTCTCATCAAAGTACTGGAGCCATTCCAAGGGAACGACCTCATTGAACCCATCCAGAAAAGCACGGGTCTGCTCCTCCTGCCCACGATTCATCCGCCAGGACATCATTAGGTTCACATATTCTTCTTTATTCTCATTAGTGACCTTGATGTTGGCACCATCTGGCTTGAGCTCATGCTGTAGGATCTGTCCAAGGAGCTCGAAGTCTGTCGTGAAGAACATCTCCAGTTCACATTCTTCAATATCATTCTCCTTGATCCACTTCAGTGAGTTATAAAACTCAGGATCAATGGATTCCAAGTCCTTCATGGTCAGCTTTCGATTGAGCATCCTCTTGTAGAAGGGCATAGTGAAGCCAGAGTATATGAATTTCCCATGATAAAGTGCCATAGCAATGAAGCGACCAACAAATCTGAAATACAGCAAATGATCTGGATTCACAGATGATGCAGGGTTGATCTGCAAACTATAATTGTTCTTGTTGGCATATTCAAAGAGGCAATACATGGGGTTGAGAACTTCATGCGAGAGGAGGAAGAACCACTCTCGAGCTACACCACCATAGTCAAGGCCCTCCTCACCCCGAAAGATGATGTACAGACGTCGACGCAGCTCGTATGCTTGCAGTCGCATGATTTGATGAAAGGAGTCCTCAAACAATGTTTGTCTGGAGACAGATATCTTGATGTGACCAGGAAGCACATTACTGTGGCATAGGTAACGAAACTGGCCAAGCTTCCAACGGAAAGAGCGCTCGTAGGCAATTGGCACACCATAAGCTCCTTTCGGACCTTTCCCATATCCTGGGCGGGGGTCCTGGAATGTTGTACTCCTGGTGTTGTGATCGACAAAATATCTAACTCCATCATCCGTGATTCGCATCTCCCATCCTGGGGGTAATGGATCTTCTTGAATGATCTTTCCTTGTGTCCGAGGGTCTTCCCATTGAGTAGTTCGATTTCTGTGGTTCACAAAGTACACACGACCATTTGGCTCAATTCTCTTTTCCCAACCCTCAGGCAATGGCCCTTTCCCATCATCATCTTCAACCTGCTGCTGATTGGGATACAGGAATCTCTGGTTTCCTTGTTGCATCACCCGTGCCCTCTGATCCTGCCATTGCTGGAACTGTCGCAGGGATTCCGGATTTGGCCTTTGCCAGGTTGTAGTTCTTGTGTTGTGATCAACATAGTATATCCTACCTCGAGGATCACGCCTCATCTCCCATCCAGATGGAAGCGGGTGTGGGCGTTCCCAAGTTGTGCTCTTGGTGTTGTGATCCACATAATAACGTCGCCCATACTGGTCATACCTCATCTCCCAACCCTGGGGTAGAGGTTCTGCATCAGGATTAGCTGGCACTCCTGGAGAAGCTGGCTTTGGACTATCTGCATTATTTTGACCACTTGCTGCACTTGGAGCAGGGCTCCGACTAGCTGAGGGTGTACTGGGTGCTGGCGGTCGAGGAGGGCGACGATCTGTATTATGTGGGGATCGTGTAGCAGCTGTGGCAGGAATGGAAGCAACCTCATTTCTCTGCTGCTGATTATCACTTGCAGAGGCAGTGGGACCCCCATTAGGATGGCTGCTAGACCCCAAACTTGGGTCAGGATTCACAGAGGACTGAATGTTCCCAATACCAACTGAGGCTCTAGCATTGGCATTCTCACTTGGAGTCTCAGAATCCCCCTCCCCAGTCAATTTTGGCTGTGAACGGCTCTTGGGATCAGACGAAAGGGCACTAGAGCCATCCGGAACTCCATTGGGTGGCAAGCTGTTCCGGTTGGGCTGTGCTCGACTTGGTGTTTCCTGTTTTGGCCTCTGAGGAACAGCACCATTTGACACTGATGCTGCTGCATCCGAGCCCACCTCGATGATAGATGATCGTGCCCGTAGCAGAGATGGGTCCACAGACATACCATCCAAAATTACTCGAAGTTCCCCAGCCTTCTGACGCTCAGAAGAACCCTTGGTCTCAATGGTCAAAGGCAGATCACATGTGAGGTTGGAACATCTACCCCGGTTCTTTTTCAAGGTGGAGAAGATCTCCACATTTGCTTCACCAATGAGACTATCCTTTTTGAATGCATTCCAACCAAAGACCTTGAGGGTCACAGTTGAATGGGGAGTAACCAATAGGGTGAATGGGTCATTGAACTTGGGGTTGTATGTGCCACGGACAACATCAGTCTTCTTTGAGTGCTTCCCATCCACCAAGACCTGGACATAGGGACTTGGTTTGAAGAGACTCCCTGACTGATTTAAAGATGCTGAGTCCACAGTCACCTGCAAAAAATAAAAATAAAAAACCTGCATTCACAACTCAGGACAGCTCACAGAATGAAGAATGATTTTAAAGTTCTCATCATGCTTCAAATTTAGTCTGGAGAGAGCTGTCATCAACTCTCTAGAATATATATTCTTCCAACTGATATCTGAAAAATTTCCCTTTCTTTTAGACTATTGTGGGCATTCCAGGTTCTTTGGTAAGTGACTTCCTTACCCAAACATGTGTTTTCAAACATGACCCCCACCCGACCATCACTATCTGCCTCTTTTTCCATGAGCTATTACTGATCTATAACCATTTCCTGCCAAGACTTGTATCCAATGCAAAAAAAAGAGGAAAACATTCATATTTTTAATTGCATTGAATGATGTTAATTGTGATAACAACTTGCTCCAGTGTGGTTATAAACAGCAAGATAAATAAATATGCAAAAAATTCTTTTATAACCCAATAAAAATAATGGAGACAAACAAAAATAACTGAGCAGGAAGTTTTTTCTTTAGAGGATGAGAGAGTATTCAAAATGACTTGCATGGATGCCAAATCTAGATATACAACTCAAGAGATCTGTACTTCATGACTCCAACTTAAGTCTTTTGGGTAGAATGTCCAGAAGAAAACTTACAAACAGAATCATTTGACGAAAAAGGGTTAAGGGTACCAACCTCCTGGATATTCACATATTAGGGTTATATCTTTGAATTTTTTTTTTTTATATTTAAGCAGTGACAGCTGAGGATATTCATATCAAAATCAATCAAGTCATGGCATAAGGCAATATTAAAGTACTTCCTTCTGGGAATATCTTGCAAAGGTCAACTGAGAACAACCTCATCAGTTAAATGTTTCTTTCTATTTTCAAGAAAGGCTTAGCTTTCCAAGGTAGGCATGGAACAAGGAAGAACCAGTGCCAGTAGTGGAGCAAGTAAACCCTCATTCTGACTTCAGGCCCTTAAAATGCTTTCTACATTCTAACATGCAAAGCAGTAGAATCAAATCTCCAGGAACAAAGAAACACATAATCCTCCCCTTTCCCTAGGCATCTATAGTAAAATAAGTACAGTTTAAGTTAAAGTTCTGGGGTCAAAGGCCTTCACTGACATATAATGCAATACATATGCTTAAGAAAAAGTCTAAATAGAAAAAACTCAGCAACTACTTCTTCCTTTCTCCTGGGAAGTTGAACACATATCATCCAGCTCTCATTTTTTGTACTGGGTGGCCAAAAAGTTGCACACCATAGGGGATTTCACTGTTGGGCTATATTAATTATTTTTCTTTCTTTCTGGGTAAACGATGGCAGCAACATTAACAAAAGACGAGAGGGGGTTACTAATAATAGTGAAGGGAATAATTAAAATAATTATCATTATTATAATTGTAAGAATTAATATATTCCAATTGTGAAATCCCCTATGACGTGTGACTTTTAAGCCACCCTATATATGTACCCCATGTACATCTTTGGCATGGCCTTCTCAAAAGACAAAGATGGATGCTTTATAGCTCAAGTTGAGCTGAGATTTTCGAGTTGTTGGCAGTAATGGTCAACATTAATGGTTTCGTTGGATCTCAGAAGCTCATAATAGACAACTCCCTTACAATCCCACCAGCAACAGAGCATAACCTTGCTTTAGTGGAGCTTGGACTTTGGAGTAGGAATAGGTGATTATCCTGATGCTCAATATAGTCTTTTTTGCTGCACATTGTTGTACAGGACCTACTTTTCGTCACAAGTAATCAACCGATCCAAAAAAGGCTCTGCGAGCTGACAGGCACGATGCATAACACATATGGTGGCCCTATCAAGCAAGTTTTTTCGGACTACTTGTGCAGTACCCAACCGCTGCTCTTGAGAAAAAACCAAGCCGATGAATGTGCTTCAGGACATTAGTCTGGTAAATTCCAAGTTTCTTGCCAATTTCTGTAGATGTTTGGCAAAGATCTGTCTTAATGAAGGCCCGCAGTTTATCATCATCAACGTCAAAGGAGTGTCCAGACCGTGGTTCATTCTCCAAACTGACATTACCATAACGGAATCTGGTAAACCATCTTAGACACGTGCGATCAGTAATAGTGCCCTCCCCAAATGCTTCACATAAATTGTTACTTGCGGTCGTTGCGTTGCTTCATTTTTGGAACTCATAAAACACAGAGTCTCAAATGCACTTAATCCACAGACATGTTGAATGCACAGTAGTTCATTTTGGACTGAATGGTTAAACTAAATTCATGTCAAATATACTCTATAACCCTTGCCCAAACATAAAACCAGTTTTTACAAGTGTGTGCAGCCTAGTTCACATATGGGAAATAGAAATAATCAACCCCTGAAAAACCGACAGAACTTTCGCTTAGACCCAATATATGTCAACAAATTTGAAATTCAGGCAATGACCTGCAACTGGTGAAGAGGTGATGCAGAATTGTTGGAATTTGATCTCTCCATCATCAGTACTGGTACATCCTGCAGAAAGCAACCTGTGGAAAACAGAAAGAGAATGTAAAATGATGAATGGTAACTTGCAGTTAGAAAAGAATGAGGTCTCTGCTCTAGGCCAATGGAAGGCAAGCCAATGTTGAGCTTGATGAGCACACCCAACTACGGTGTGGTGCAAAAGGAGGGAGGGAGAAGGGAATGTGGTCCTGAGCCACAATAGTCCCAACCTCATGGGACAATGACTGGTAGGCTGGGGAGGATAGGGGAAGTGTCAGGCATTAGATACATAAAATAATGAGAGAAAAAATTATCCTATTATTTGTAGCTCCTGCAGCTACATATATGTAGCTACATTAGCTGCTGACCATAAGGCATGCTAAATGGATAAGGATCATAAGGGATTATAACAATCTCTAGGGAAAGCTGGTCAGTGAAAGTAGAAAGTATATGAAGCCATGCTTGCACACTTAGTATGGAACCCTTTGATGGAGAGATTAGATCATATTTGGCAAATTGAATATGTTATTGACAGTCCAACAAGATCAAGTCAACCATACAACTCCTTAGTCTCACATGATTTCCACCTGCATAAACAACAACAATTAGACGAAGCCAAGGAGAGGGCAATGGATAAACTATTCCAATGTTGCAAAAACAGGAGATGTACAAATACAATGATCACTACAGAGAACAGTGTCAAGGGACTGGACCACCAATTGAACAGAACAATTGACAACACTCCTTGGAAAAGTATTTGAGTATTTCCTAAGAGTGATAGACTAATTTAAAGACTTTTGTTGGTTTTACCATTTGAATTTTGGATTCAATAAATGAGAAGGGTTCTTCAAGCATTAGTTTTCACATGGAGTCTAATAACAAACAACTCTTTAATATCAGACCAACCTGCATCGCCAATGAAGAATACCAATCTGCAATCATCATCATCATAACATTACTTCAAGGAAATTAAGAAAAATTATATATTTGGAATAGAATGCCAAGTCATTGAAAAAAAAAGGCTTACCATTTCCACCACAGCTATATCACATAGGTCAAGCCTATATTATGGAATCCAGGACACTTCTATGTTGTAAGTGTTGACTCAGGAATGTGCAGATTATTGTGCCTCTCATCAAATCCCTGTTGGTGAACACATTATAGTATGCTTGTATGATCACAGACCAGTACACTCAGGCCCGTTAAATCACAGGGGGCTCAAGCCTCAAGCTGCCTTGGCCTCCTTAATGATTTTGGCCTAGGGGAAGAAACAAAACATAGCATTTGGCATTTTACTGAGCAATCTAAAGGACTGATCAAGAGGATATGGCTATTTTCATATCCTTATGAAATTCCTTTTATATTAGAAATTTTTTAAAATCATTCATATCAATTTCCAGTTAAGACCATATGAGACATCATAGTTTGATGAAGAAAAGCACAATTTTTCACAGCAATTAAAAAAAATGCAGGTTAGTTATCCTAAAGTTAGATAGCCTATGGATAGATTGATAACTCTAGAAGGTAGCCCCATGGTCTAGAGGGCTTCACATTTTGATTGTTCTTCTGGGATATATTCTCTGCATTCTCCCAGGAGCAGTATCTTTTGTACCCAGCTCATTCTTCCAGAAAAATCAGAAGACAGGGAGCCATAGACCAAGTCAAGGGCTCAAATATGGCCTGGATAGCAAATGAAGTTAACCTACAAGGTCTTGAAAAAGTCTTCAAGATTCTTAGCCAGTACCAAAAAGAATTCCTCTGCAACATGATCTGACAATATGGGGGGGGGGGCAGAAGATAGATGAGGAAACAAGTGTGGAACCTTCTCCTATTCCTGGCTTTTTCTGCTCTTCTATCCTGTGTTGCCTGTGAATCGATACTGAATCTTTAAATCTCTACACCATGAAGTGTCACTGTATACCACCATTTGTGTAGGTTACATTTTTGCATCCCTCCATTATGGTCTCGCTAAATGGCAAAAGGCCTCAGTGTGCTTCTTTGATTATGTTTCATCATTCATCTGGCTATGTTGCAATTATTCTCTCTTCAATTGGAATGCGTTGCACGTAGGTTTTAATATTGTATATATGATGGTAAATGCTATGTTAGCTGATGTATCGCCTTGAGTCACTTCCTGAGGTTTGCCTAGGGGCTGAACCTGACACAAGCACAATCATGCCCAAAGCCTAGGACACAAATCAAGGCAGAACTAAGGAATCAATTGAAATTTTTAATTGATTGATAGCCTTGCTATTTATCTCTAAAAACAATACTAAAGTTTTAAAGGTAGATCATGAATAGCTGAGTGACATAATTATGATGCAGAATTGCATCAGGAATGAAAAAATCACTTATATTTTGCAAATCACAGATAGATTTGCTGTAGAGGATCACCATAGTTCTGAAACACTTTGTATGATGCATTTCTTCAATAACTGACCTAAGCATCACTCCTACTTGGCTAACATTTCTTTTTTTAAAAAAAAAGCAAATATGGAAGAGTCAGTTCCTTACAAGTACCCATCATTGAATACATAGTAAGTCTAGTAAAGCATTTGTAGTGGTGAATAATTGGAGATTTCAGAAAGCTACGACCAACTAAAATTGACTTTTTACCTGAATTCATGATTCAATTCTTCAGGCTTTCAAATGTAATCTATTCAGCTCAGACATTGACAATGAAATTTATCTTCACTAAAAACCAATTTGTAGGCATCAACCTGTTGATTTGGGGAATGCACAAATGGCAGGGTAAGTAAATTGAAACAAATTTTAAATAATCTGTTCTGTACGATCTTTCATTCATCCNACCCATCATTGAATACATAGTAAGTCTAGTAAAGCATTTGTAGTGGTGAATAATTGGAGATTTCAGAAAGCTACGACCAACTAAAATTGACTTTTTACCTGAATTCATGATTCAATTCTTCAGGCTTTCAAATGTAATCTATTCAGCTCAGACATTGACAATGAAATTTATCTTCACTAAAAACCAATTTGTAGGCATCAACCTGTTGATTTGGGGAATGCACAAATGGCAGGGTAAGTAAATTGAAACAAATTTTAAATAATTTGTTCTGTACGATCTTTCATTCATCCTTCTTTAGTCAAAATAGGTAGATTCATGAGATCAACTGCTAAGTTACTTTTTTTAATGCATTGAACGAAAGAATACCAATCAAGGCCGTATCATGCATGGCAATATCAACAATAAACAATATCACAGAAGTATCAGAATCTTGCGGAAACGCCACAGGTCCCTGAGATGACCTAGATAGTGAAGTGGAGACGCGACGAAGAACCATAATGATTACATATGAATGACGGCCATCATGGCAACAGCGTAAACCGCCAATGTCATGATTATTTTCATTTTTACTCTTGCCTTCCGTTTGAGGTTAGGCTCAGTACGATGGCAAGAACTTCAGAAATTTCACCCAACTGAAGCAACGGGTGCTAGAGTTAACTTAGGCCCTAACAAAAGTCATCTGAAGACCAACTTTCAGCTAAGCGGCCTCATCAATAACACTTTTGCAGACACCTATCTTGAGATAACTACTGACAACTGATGGTCAATAAAATAATAATCTTCCAATACAACATAGGGATGAAACTTGACACTAGGCCTAAGGCGGACTACTTCATATGATGCTATGTCGTTGAGATATACAGTGGACCCCGGACCCTAATAAGAGCGAACGGCCATGACGATGCAGGTCCGTGTTCACGGATGCCATTCCAGAAGTCCTGCTGACCCGGACCCGTTATAAAGTATGTTTAACTGCAATTCCCATTCCTACTACAAGATGAGCTTAAATAATGAGACAATTACAAGAATCCAACAACTCGGTGCAGTTTTCAGGTGATTGAGCAACTACTTATGATGACGTAATGTTCGGCCAAATCGCACCACTGTTACTAGAGCGTTAATGGCGATTCTGTCCATTTGTCAGGGAGTGTCATGTCACCATCAAAATCGTTTTTATTCTTAAAAGTGGCAAGGGAGATCTTAAGGGAATGTCAGTAGTGGATATAAGAAGTTGGTTATCAGGAGGAAATGGCAGTTTGGAACGTAGCATTTAAGTTTAATTGAAACATGACCTTCGTTAGTCCTACAGATGTTGGTACTAGTTATGTCGTACTTAATCAGTGCCTGCTTTTTACATGAAAGTAAGCCTCAGCCTAATGCCTGAGTTGAGCATGTTATTTTTCTACGGCTGTTGATGTTTCACGGTTTCACATTATGCATAGGGAATGCGTTGTATTTGCTCTAGTTCTAGCCTGATGACATATTGTCCAATGGACCAAGTTTTAGGATATGTCGATATTTTGTGGTTTTTAGAGTGGAACTAGAGACATGAAAGGTTTTCATCACAAGCAAGTTTTGCATTTCAACCAAATATGTGTTCGATATGCACAAGATTCCAACAGAAGCAGGATAGAACAAACATGTCCTTTGGACATATGGTTTTGCACCCCAAATTTCCATTCTAGTTGGTAGCTGCCACTTTGAGATGAGTTTAAAAAAAATGTTGAATGTATCTTTGTTCGTATTGATTGAGTATGTGGGTGAGAGTGGGAGGTCGATTTGAGGGACAAAATAGCTTGGACAATGATTTGAGTATGAAGTGACACTTGAGAGGCAAATTCATTAGATCCCCATGATTGTAGTGTATATCTGTTTGGTTGAAATATGGGTTCAGGCAAGTCTGACCCTCCACTCAGTGATTTCAATTTGAAAAATGTGTAAATTATGCCAAATCACATCTAGGCTTTCATATCTTATCTGATATAGGTTTAAAATCATAATTAATCAGGAGGAATGGCTTAAGCATGATTGGAAGCCATTTATATGTTGTTCATGGAGGATACAGGAAGGGCAAGGTCTCTCCAGGCCAAATCAAGATGAAGAGGAAGAGATGAATGGATGCAGCAACAAAGAGGTATTCCTTCGTTTTCTGCACCTTATGAACATGCTGACTTTGCTTGGCGCATTCCCTTTTCTCATTCCTTGGTGCCTATGCATCCCACTCCAAGAAAACATATTTTTGAGCCAATTTTGGTTTGATCATAGGTTGAAATGATCCTAAGTTAGACGTGTAAAGTACAAACCTCCCAGAGCATGCGTTCCCTCTTAATCCAATGAAAACTTCAAATTTGCTTGCCATACTGATCAGGACTCAACACAAAGCTCCAAATAGCCAAGGCAGACTAGTCTTCTATAGCATAACTCCTTGGTATCATACCATGCCTGAAAATGATGTATCAAATCAAAGTCCACAATACACAAAAAGAGAATATGGAATTTGTCCCTTTCTGGTCGGCTTGTTATTGTCATTCTAGGGTGAGCTATCCATTCACCTGCAAATCAGGATGCCTACATTCTGGAACTAGAGTGAAGGTGTTCCGTGCATGGTATCAAATGGTGTCATTAGTTCTATGGAAAGCTAATTGGATCAGGTTGGCTTGAAATCTCCAGCTCCCTGTGCTTTCTAGAACTCTACATTGCAGGGACACTGAGGCATCAATAACTGTTTGTTTTTTGGCATATCCATGGGACTTGTTGGAATGTACTATGCAAACAGCAAAGTTGATGTGAAAATAGACTTTGTACATGGTGTACATTCTGTGTAGAAAACGAAGGAAAACCAAAGAAGACAAGCTGCTTAAGAAACATGACCCATGACCAAAGCAGAAAGATAGGAAGTAGAAGGAAAGGTAGACCTGCATGTAATCCTGACCCTTTGTCATGCAATATAACTTCCATAAATCAACATATAATGAACATGAAAAGGGCAAGGACTATTTTGGTCCTTTGAAATGAATATTATTTTATAAGAAATTTGAGGTAAAGCATGCCTTTGCATGCAGAACACTAAAGGGCTTTCTGATTTACTGGTAATAAGAAGTAAAAAATTCTAGTTCCACACCGTGTGAAGGAAGAGTTCTTTTTATGGGATAAAACTTGAGTCATTTAGCTTTATATGTAGACTTCCCTGACCTTGCAGTTATCAGATAGGTTTCACTGGCAGTACCCTTAAGTCTTAAGTATAAAGTGGGATTCAGTTTACAAAGCTAATGAATAAATTGTGAAGCTATTTCTCAGATCAAGAAGTGCATGTTCTGATTATGAATTACATGGACCATCAATGGTTGAATTCAAATTTGAAGGTGCCTCAGAGCAGGGGTGTCCAATTGGCGGTCCGCTGGCCAGATCCAACCTGCCAATTCATTTTATCTGGCCCGTGAATTCCTCTTTA